GTTTGGTTTTTAGGAGCAACATTGTAATTGATTCTCACTGACCACTAAAAACGCTTGAGTATTCTTCACGTGGGAATGGCATCACCTCAGCGCATGGAGGAATGTAAAATGCTGGGGGGCAGGCTGCCGGGCCGAGTGCGCGGGCGAGGGGCCTGCCCAGGGAGCAGCCCTGTGGCCGCACAGGCTACAAGCATGTGGCGATCAAAACAAATGCTCACATTTTTGTCTCAGGCCTGAGGAAATAATTGTGACTAAGACATCTTTCCCTCAACTACTTTAAGGTAAACATGTAAGACACTTGCCTCTATTCTCAATGAATGACGGTGAAAATAACAGTATGAAAAAAGTTACTGATAGCCTCCTCTAAGAATGGTTACATAAACTATGACAGAGCCAGGTGATAATATATGTTCATTAAAATGATTTTGTGAAGACTGTGACGACCCTCAACAAAGTTGACTATAACGTCTAATTATGACTATCTAAATCTCCCCTAAAGCTACATATTTAAAAACCTGGAAGAAAAATATCAGTTCAAAACTATAGAAAGTATTTGATTTAGAGTGGCTGAACTATGAATAACTGTTCTCTCTTCTAGATTATATTTCTCAAATTTGTATTACTTTGTAATGAAATAATAAATGCGGTGAAGCGGTAAGGGATGAAAACTTCCCCTAAAAATCGGAGACATACAAAGCATGATGATACTCCATAAACTTATGTGCAGTTTAAGACACTCTGCCGAGTGATATCTTTTTAAAGATTTACAATAACTACTTGAGGAAGGCAGGGTAGATATATTCAGATGAAGAAACTCAAGTTCGAAGAATGTAATTAACTTGCCTGCAGCTAGCAAGCGGTATATAAAGAGAGAAGGCTACTCTACTGTACTCAGTATCTTTATACTTCATTAAGAAATTGTTTAAAATTAAGGTATTTTTTCTATTAAAACAGAAACAGTCAGCATTTTCTACTGCAAGAATTTTGAATGCACGGAGCATGACACACTAACCTTTGAATCCATTGTACCACATGCCATAACTACTGAATAACCATTTCTAAGATCTTTAAATAAATGAAAAAAATATATTCAATAGCTGAGTGATTCGTTAGTTAGGTTTGAACCCTGCGTCATCTTTCACTACTGAACCATTAATACCCTTACTCCTCAAAACATAAACAGCCCATTTATCCTGGACAGGTTATCAGTACACTTGTTTTGTAACTTAAATCTAATTTAAAATGTAGTGTAGTGGCTTTTTTTAAAAGTTAATACACCTTTTTGTCAAGTAAATAATCATTTTCAATTTTACCAGCTTCCACAAGATGATTGTTTAAAATGATGTATATTTATTTGCACAATGAAAAATCATGTACTAAATACTTTTTAAGGAGCATAAGGTAGTTAATTCAGCTATTAGAGGCACGGAAAATCTCACTAAAGGAATTTCAGTAAGCTAAATTCCCCACATAAAACGAATAAATGAAATCACATGAGGGCAAGTTAAAAATTACCAAAAATGTTCACTGTCTTCTTTTAGATCAAACAATACTTTCTGATGATATTTCAAGTTACTTCATTTTTAAACCATGACTAATTACAATGGCAATGCTTCCAAAACCAACAATGATCTCACTTTTAAAACATTCTTGTCAGGATAACATTTTCTTACTAAAACATGACATTCATTCCTTTCAGCCAACCTTAATATTGAGTTCCCAAAAGTTTAATCAGCTACATTTTTACATCAAATGGGCCAATTGTTATAAGATTTGGTATGGGGGGGGGGGGTGTCCAAAAATGTTATGAAAAAATAAATCACTATTTTAAATGGTATCTGAAAAAAATGCACTTTTGTCAGGAAGAACAGCTGTATCTGGTCACATGCCATATTATTTAAGATATATATTGCCCAAATTTGATCTTTTGTGCCCATTTTGGCTAAAAATTAAAAGCTGTATTAGGAATCTTTGCAGTAATCTTAAACTAGATTATTGATAAATAAATAAAGTTGATCCCCTAAGCATTCTAATTGCTGATGCTAATGTCAACCTCGTATCATGGTGCTGAGGAAGTACCAGATAAGAACAGACCTGGGCTGTGAGGTTAACCTCATGCATCCTGATCCACACCAGAAGTGCAATAGGAGGCTGGTATTAGGAGAACATGATTTGGTAAAATGCTGTAAAAGGTTCTATTCTATCTTTTGACTAATTTCAATGGCATAAATAAATGGCACGCAAGGTTCATGGGAAGTTGTTTCATAAAGAAAATTATTGTTTGGACTCAGGTATAAAGCAAGTAGAACGACAACTCTAAATAGAAGGAAAACTTCAACAAATGTCAGGCCCGCTACAGAGGGCTTAATACCAAAAACTTTATTCTAAATAATTCCTCTGGGCTTGGCAGAGAGAGATAGCTTAAATACAAGTCCTCATATCACTCATATTATCTTCTATAAATTATAAACAGTGACTTTAAATTCTAAAATATCTTTCTATATTTTACAATCCTGTATCAAGTTTCTAAACTGCAACGCTTAAGCACAAGCTTGAAAACAAAGTTCAGAAAAAGTAATGCTCTCAGAACAGTAAAAATAGTAGCAATAATGGTAAGAGCAACATTTATTAAATGCTTACCATGTACCAAGTTCAGGAATTATCTTTTAGATTCTCATAATGATCTTATGGAGTTAGATATAATTACATTGTCATCATTTTCCCCCTTTACAGAGGGATTATAGATGGTTGAATCAAAGCATCTTTCAAACAATGCTAGACATAGCCTTCACCTGGAAAACGTTTAAAATGGCCTTAATTCAAAAGAAGGAAAATGTGCGGGCCCCTTTCCTCCTTTTTAAGGACACTTGTAATAGGAAAGTCTCACATCTCCTATGACTGTTTTTCAGTGGATGGGACCTATTCATGGATCATGAAATCAATTTAATAATTCATAAACAGCATTTTTTTAAACACTGCAAATAACTAGAGTTTAAAAGTCAGATAATTATAATATAAATAGCAAGGGCTAAGTATTGCTTCATGAAATGTGCTTTTAGAGCTGTGTACTCAGTCATAATGTAAAATGTATTTCTTGCCATGGGTCTCAATCAAAACAGACTGAAAGCCATAATACCTGATAGACTCCCAAGGCATTTTTCACATGAAATATATCTGACATAAAAAGTTACTTAATTACATTCTGATGATTGATATTTCCAGGATCTATACCTAAAACATTTTAGGTTTTTGGTAATTATAGTAAAATTATTGGCATGCTGAATAGCCAACTCTACTAAGACATGCAAAGAAACTCTAGGAATGTAGCCCCATCAACAGTTTTCCCAAGAAACATAAACATCAAATGATTTGTGGATCAACAAACACAATGTTTAAAGAAAGTATCTGAAAGAAACCAGGGCTCCTTGAAGAAACGGTAATTCCAAGTCTGGGCAGAAAAATACAAGGTGAATGTGGAACATCTTGTTCATAAAGCAAAGAAGCTATCAGAGGCTAGGTTGTGTCAAAATGATGAAGGAGGCAGCTTAAAAGCTTCCCATAGATCAAATAAGGGACAATTTGGCTTCAAAGAGAGTAATACCTATAACAGATTGAGACACAAATATATAAAAATTCAAGAGTTCAAATAAAAGATAACATTGATCACCTCCATGGTTGCAAGGATATCAACTTATTATTCTAAACTGGGTAAAGAAAAAAAGCAAGTATTTTTTCCTGCCTTTCCTTCATTAGTTTTTTTGCATTTATATCCAGGGAGTTTGTGAAGGGAAGTTCTTCTCTGAAAGAATGCCAGGTTTTAAAAAAAGGAAAAACTTAGAAAGTCACCAAATTACAATCCCTAATGAAATAATGAATGATCAGTAATGGTTGCTAAAACCATTAGATAAAAGATTGATAGGGAACTTTATAACAGATAAATCAGGCTGGCAACATCTGAACCCACTGATCAATTTTAACACGACTAAAAGTGGGACAAGACTTCCTAATGGCAGATAGTAGGAAGTACACAGAATCAATATGAAGTATTATTGCCCTAAAAGAGAACCTGAACCTAATCAGTTCTCTAGATCTACTCCCTAGTTGTAGGAAATGCAAAGGATAGAAAAAGATGTTCAACAACCACAAATATGCAATTAACTAAATTCGAAATATGGGAAATTTTACAAGATCTGGTCTCTTCAATAAATAATAGCAAGAAAAAAAGACAGGAAATTGTTAAGGATTAAAAGAGTCATTGTAATGCAACACTGTAGACCTTATTAGATCCTGATTTACACAAACAAATCATAAAAGGACTTTTACAGAATTGCGGCAATTTGAATACAGACCAGGTTATCAGGTGATATTAAGGACTTATTTTTTATTTTGTTAAGTGTGATAATGGTGATGTGGTTTTGTGATAAAGATAAAATATTTTTAAAAATCTGTAAGAATAAAGCATGGCATATAGAAATCCAATTGGCAGACTGATATGTAACAAATACTTTGACATATAAGATAGTCCCTTTTCAAGAAAAACATTTCAGCCCTGGCCACCACTGCTCAGTTAGTTGGGGCACCAAAAGGTGGCCTGTTGTATTCCCAGTCAGGGCACATACCCGGGTTGCAGGCTCTAGCCCCTACAGTAGGGGGTGTGCAGGAGGCAGTCAATCAATGTTTCTCTCTCTCTCCCTCTCCCTTCCTCTCTCTCTAAAAATCAATAAAATATATTAAAAATAAAGAAAAGAAAAACATTTCATCTTTCTGGTAAATACTGGAATTCCAAATCACTAAAAATACACTGTCACCCAAATTCCTACTTTCAAAGTAAGGTATTAAGGATACCTCAGCTGGGTAAATGTCAGACAGCCAAGTTTTGTTTTTGCTTCAGGATGTTTTTCCCATTTAAAATGTAAGCATACACTCCACATACAATACTTTAAAATGTCACAAATATATAATTATCCTATGTCACTATAAATATTGTATTAGAAACTTACGAAATAACAGAACCGAAGGACAAACATGCTTCATGATCTTCTTGAAGCAATGAATTTATTTTCTTCCCTGTAGCTTTACTTAGAGATGTCTTCAGTTTCTTAGCTAATTTTTTTGGTGTGTTGGTTATAGAAGACTCTTCTGTACAGCAACTATACACTTCCACCTTTATCTGAAAGTCTGGCCTTGCTTCATTACTAAAAGCAAGGGTATTCATATGTTAGGAATTTAACTCAGTAGAAAATAAAATTATAACATCCTTTGATATTTTCATACATTTAAAATCAGCATTTGAAGTAGGTTTATGTTAATATATGTTCATGAGACAGAATTTCCCACTGTTTATTTAGTATCTAAGGACCTGAGACAGCCACTACAACTTGCAGAGCTACCAGCTTATAAAGTAGGCCAGCCTTAACTCAACTTAACCAGTCCGCCCAGGCATATTCTTAAAGAAAAATAATAAAATGTCCTGGTCATCTTGTTGCCACTGCCATTTCTCTTTATCGTTCCTTTAATACAGCTATTTTTAAGGCATTTACACTACACACGTGATTTCCTGTAATGACTATTCCTCTAGAAGAAAAAATGTTTGAAAACAAAAAAGGAGAAACAAAGGTTTCTTCTGCTAAAACCTTTAGTTTTCATTTCTTTTTCATAGTCACAGTCTGCTCACCACATGCTGCTACCTCCCCTGAAACTCGTCAACCTTTGTGCCTAATAACTCTAAAATAACATTTCAATATTTGGTTATACAGGGGAAAACAAACAAACAAACAAAGATATAAAGAGATATACTCAAGGCATAAATTCCTTGAGGGCAAGTGCTGTCTTAATCTTTGTATTCTTAGCACAGAATAAAAGGTGCCCAATAAGCATTTATTCAACCAATATGCAGAAGTTCTGTAATTTTAGTAAACACTAAGATTGGCTTTGCCCTTTGTCAGACACAGTGAATCACCTTTCCCATAAAAGACTGGTGGTGTTACTAACAATAAAATATACTTAAAACTGTAAAAGAGGTCCATCAGTACATGCTGCCTGTAGATGATCCATCAGCCTCAGAGATTTTAAAAAATGCAGCCTTTTTAAGATTTAAATGGCCAATTCAAAGTTTGCATAAATCTAAGGAATAATTTCCAGATATTTTTAAAGTTTACTAGTTGGCAACTTTTAAACATACAGTATTCCTGGTAATGACTAACAAATGTCAATATTTAGAGGAAAACCAGAGATTCATAAATATTGAACACTTATTAAAAACAACCATAACAAAAAGCACATTTTTAAACAACATTTAGAACATTTGACTGCTGTTATTTTTAGAACAATTTAAAATATTTACAGAATTTTCAAAGAATTATAAATCATGTGTTGTCTTCTCAAGTAACTTGCATTGTTCTTTCCCTGAAAAAAATTATGATTTCTGTCTTTGTGGTAAAACAAACAATAGCAAAGTGATGTGAAGAAAAGAGCCCATTAACAGGATGACCTTCACAGAAAAAAAAAATGCACTAGCAATAGCTGATAATGGAAATAAATGTATTTAGGTAACTAAGAAAAATTATTTTTTATTCCCAATTATGGTGATATTTTGGGGATCCTAAATAAATTGCTTTGGTTCAATAGAGCTTGTAGAAAGTCCTGCACTGCTGCTAATAACTCAGAACAATGCATTTTATTTTTCTGTGCTATACAATTACTTATGGGACACTGGGCAGAAGCCACAAAACATGGTTTGCAATAGTTTTCTTGTGATGTTATGTGAGTAGCAAAACTCGTACTCTCAAATCTCAACTGCACAGCTCCATAGCTGAAAATGGCAAAAATCATGTATACTGATTTTAAGAGTTAAATAGCTACTAATATTTAGATACTAAGATAGTGTCTTTGAAACCCTGAAAGAAATACAAATCCCAGGCTGATTTAGGGCCACAGAACCTCCAAACGGGTCCAGGAAAGACTTATGTTAGTTAAAAATGATTTCTATGACTACCTAAGGAGTTCTTCCTGGTGCTGTATTATGACCACAATAAAATGAGCCTGTAAAAGAGCAGAAGCAATAAAAACAGCCCTAAGGATCGCCCAGTGTTTTACTGTTCTGGAGTACATGAAAGAAGTCCACCATAAGAAAAAAGCATCTCAAATTTTACTAAAGTGCCTTTCCTATGGTACATATTTCAGGACCATCTTACAAATAAAGTTCTAATACTATTTTGGTACTTCTGAAACTAAATCTCCTAAATGAGACATAAGAACCTGTTTTATGCCCGAATTCACTTTATATAAAATATTGTTATGAGATTCCCTTGTATTCATAGCTTAGTTAATAATTAAGCTATAAACATTTGTAAAAATTAATAAAAATTTATAATATCCAATGAGTCAAAATATTTACTACTAATATTACATGATTTCCATTTTATTTTAAATGGAAAAGTTTCAAGTGCAGAAGTGGGCTTCTTTTGAATAAAGTAATTTTTAAAATAAATTTAAACACTTAAAGATCTAACACTACAAAAATAACCCAAAGACAGAATTTGATTACTTTCATTCTCTAAAGATAAAGAAGTACTTACAATATGGCTACATTTTCAAAACATATATCTGTGGTTGTTTTATCGACAATGACCACATCAGTATCCAAAACTTCAGCTCCCATTTTTAACAAACAAAAAATGGCATAGCGCTGTGATTCTAGAGAACAAACACAAATGAAAACATTTTACGTCATGATCCATGCCTATGTTATGCTAAAATCTACTCGAAAATGAAAAGGAATTAGCTTAAATACTGGTTAATATATTCTTATTTCAGTACATTGTAATCCTTAACTTTTTTAGTGACTGTTTCGTCAGTATATATTCATACTCTACCCAATTAAAACAATTAAACTAGGGAATATAAAAGATAAAGTTAAAAATATAAGCCTCTTAGCAGCCTAAAATAATCACCAAACTCATAAACTGAATCCCTAGAAAACCCTTTAAGCTTTAATTAATAGCAACTTTACTATTATATATATATTATTACCTTTGTCATTTTGGCTTCCAAGTCTATTTAAGAAAAAACGTTTTCCATTATATAGGTTAAGAGCAGGCACGTTAACAACAGCAAAGCATTTTCCACCAAACTAACAGCCAGGGAGGAAACCACAAAAACAATAAAAAGTAGACATGTGAACACAAAAAACATAGCTGCTGGGCCTTTTAATTTGGTGATGTTTTAAAAAAGTATTAGGTGATTAAAGGGCTAAATCCTCATTATTGAGAAAATGTGGCTCTTCAAAAAAATGTATTTTCTGTAGTAATCAGAAAGATGTATTTAATTCCCACATGCATTCTTTTGTAAAGTAAATTATATTTCCTAATTGAATAACAAATATACTAACCTAATTTTGGATTCTTCATGTAAAATTAATTATGCTCAATATGATTCAGTTTTTAAAATATGAGTAACAAAGCTATCACAATAGACAAGGAAGATAAAGGATTACCATATCTTTTCTGCTTTGCCTCTAACAGCTAGAAATCATTTGAGGTTAATTTCCATGACCTCAGCATTACATGAATTTGTGAAGACTATATAAAGCTGTAAAATGCTGAAGCGGAAAAAAAAAATCAGATCAAGCTAAAAATCTTTCTCTCTTACATCCTGTTAAATAATCTAAAGAAACAAAACAAAGCAGAAAAGATCTCCAACATTCTGGTCAAATGGAAGAAATGTTGCCTTTACCTTCGCTCCTTAAACATTTCTTCTTGCCCCACACTTCCCTTCCCTTACAGTTCATTACATACCGTCTTTGTACAGGTTCCTTTCAACAACTAATAGTTTATTAGATATGCATTATTTTAATTAGTATCAAGTAATTACAGCATATTTCTACTAAAAATCCACAAAACACAGTTCAGCAAAATTTTGATTATTCTGTCAAATGGCATCAATTTATTTGAGTGTGGAAGCAGCCTTTTCTCCCAATAACACAAATTTTTCTATACACTAAAAAAAAATATTTTAATTACAAGTTTAAATTATACATACGTTCTTTATTGCTGAAGTGATCAGAGTCTTTCCACATTAGCGGTATTCTAATACCTATAAAGAGGGGGAAAAGAAATGACAGGTAATAATTTTGGTAAATTTCATTTCTCAGAGTGAAATGAACCTGTGAATTTCATAATGGATTCTGACCATTAAAGCCATTAAAATTTATTATTTAAATATTCTAACACAGATAGATAGTATTTTCTTTAAGAAACAGCTTAGACTAGAAATATAAAATGTTATTTTTACATAATTTACTAAAAAAACCCTAAAAACTATAACATAAGAAATTAATTTATTAAGTGAGGTCTGTAACAAGCTTATGCCATAACATTTTCATTTTGAGATTTATGTTTTATGAAATAAGCGAATTACAGGAAACCTAGTGTTGAATTTCTACCTGGGGTAAATGGTAGCAGAAAAAGTAGTTAGATACACTTCAAAATGTATAGAATAGTAGAGGCAAAAAAGACTTTAGACCCTTTATCCACTATGCAAACTTTAAATATGAGGAAAATTAAGTGACTTGTCTAAGATCACTGGTTTTGGGGGGGAGACCCAGCTCCTGACAAAGAGATCCAAACTCTTTCTATTAGGAAGATTTAACTTGTCTACAAAAGAACTTGGAGATCTTTGTATATTCATGTTACAAACTGCAGCATTTCCCTTAAGAAATAAAACTAAAGAGAGGAATGCATGACTTCTTTCAATCCAAGAAACAAGGCTTATGTTCTAAAAGTGATCTAAACATACTTTCTCTCATTCACACATTCTTCAAACACTAAAGTAATTGTGTTAATGATCTTTATTCCAAAGTTAATCTAGAACTGTGATACAGTCAAAGTTTTTCCTTCCTAGTTTCTTCCATTCTTTCCTTTACTTTAAATACTAGATTAACAGTAGTAATATTTTTTTCTGACATTCCTACACTCTTTATATATTTTCAAAGTTAGAGGATCGAGGTTCTACCAAATAGATTAAGATGTGTGAACTACAGTGTTACATAGCACAGTAGAGATCTCAATGGTGAAGTTAGTTTTAATTACTCAGAGTACAAAAACTATATAAATGTCTCAAGTCTTTGTGGAAGGCTTAAGACACTTCCCTATGACATTTAGGAAGTTTATGTGCGTATCTTTCATACCTATTAATTATGCCACTTTCAAATAACTACAAATGTTTATGAAGTAAGCTGTTTGGCTACATTTAGCTTGTGCTTCACTTTGAGATCCCATGATCTTTTGTCTAGATTTTTATTTGCTTACATTTCAAGTTTTAAGGTTCTTAATGCCTATTTCTAATTTCCTTTCACAAATGCTTTATGTTACTCTTTCATCCCCAGCTTACCCAACCAGGCAGGTATGTGCGAGCGCCCTTTCCACTGCTGTCCTAGCAGTTCCACAAAAATGTTACCTACTGATCTCCATGTGCCAAGCTAAACTTTGCATACATCTCATTAAATAATAATTTTTAAAATATTTAATAGTCAAGCGACAGGGTTTAATAGTCAAGTTACAGGATTTAATTGCTTAGATTTGTATTTTCTTGATTAACAAGAAAAATGTTAATACATTTTGTTGGCCAGCTCAGTGAATCTATTTGTATCCATGGCCTATTTCTCTCTCTTTCTTTTTAAAACGTATTATTTATGATATGTACTTATAAAAGTTAATTATTTAATCTATGTGAGAATTTGAGTGAGGTAAAAATACAACAATAATTATTCTTCTTACAAAAATAATTGCTGCAGCTCCATTTATATCTAATAATAGGTATTCTGTTCTTTACTGATTTTATGATGCCATCTTTATCATATGTCAAAGTGTCTGTTCTACTTGAAGCATGTATTAAAGACTACCTATCAGTATCATACTATTATAATCATTGAACCTTTGTAATATACTTCATTGTTACAAATACAGCCTTCCAGCAACATCTTGCTAGTTTCTTTATGTGAATTTTAGAATATTTTGTCAAAATTTCCCCTCCAGAATGTTTTATTACAATTCTATTGTCCAAATTAATTTGGGAACTGATAATGTTATAATTTTCTGTCTTCACACAGAGTAGCATTATACAGTTACCCTTACATTTTTATTAAGGTTATTCTTGAGGGCAGTTAATGTTTTTTGTTATTTTTTTATTTTAAAAGAGATCTGTTTTTGCCATCATATTTCCTAACTAGTTATTGCTGGTTTTGAGAGGAGCTATACCACTTTTTGCATATTTATCTTGAACCTAGCCATTTTTACTGAATTCTTTGTTAATTCAAATAATATTTCAGTAAGTTTCCTTAGATTTTCTAGGTCTGCAATCTATTATCTTCAAGTAGTATTTAATTTGTCTATTTCTTTTCAGTAGTTTCATATTTCATTCTTACCATTTTAGCTAGAATTTCTAAAACTGTGTTAAATTATATTGATACAATAGACATTGTTCTTTTGTTCTCAATTTTAATGGGATTGCCTTTCTTGTTTTATAATTTTGCCTTGGCTGATGTCCTGTCAAAGAGCCTGCTTCTTGCTTGACCACAACTGCTGACTCATTTCATTTCACAACTGTTCTTGTTCACAGCTGTTCTTGTTCTATTAGGGTAGTACTAACTATTTTCACTATCTTGGGAGGAACATGGACCCTGACTTCCTTTGCTGTATATCCACAGCCTGTGGGTCAGTCTTGCCTTTCCCATGCCTCGCTATGTTAGATCCTCAAGAGGGAAAGGTGGACACTTCTTATCTATTTCCCAGGCAGTCAAGTATTGTCAGATGACAAAAAAATGTATAAGCGACCAACTATGTTTCTTTAATTCAGGTTCAAATACTAGAAATTCCTTTCTGATTCTTGCAAATGATTCACTCGGTTTTAGTATACATTGCTCTTTGTCTTTTTTCATGTCTCCATTGACATTTTAATGGTAAAATGAAAAAGTCATAATAGGATGGCTAACTTGATGCTATCAGGCCCTGGAAGTCTGTCTATCATACTTTTCAAAAGTAAATACTGAGGCACTTTGTGAACCTATTTGGCTTTAGTCGCTGAATTAGTAGTCAGCGAGTGATCTCAGACAACTTTGCCACAATGCAACTATTTGATGTTTAGCAGAAATAATCAGAATAAACCTCAATTATTCTTTTTACTTTTATAAAGATATGCCCAGTGAGTGGTGAAGCTGGACATGAAAAACCCTGGTATCTCCTGGCAATCAATCTCAGAAACATTCTTTTAAAAAAGGTGGATTAGTTTTTAATTTTCTTTGTTTTTATTTTTTACACATATACAGCTGAGATATAATTAAGTCTAAGCAAGAAAGAAAAGTAATTTCATACGCATCCCATTTTTGGATACTTTCGGTTCCCTAATTTAATCTAAAATTATCTTTTGGAAAAAAGGAACACATGAAGAAATAAATTTAATTTCTATACTTGAGTATAGAAATTAGGAAAAGTTTTTTCTCCTCCTTTATATGCTTCTACTTAAGCACTCCTCTAAACGTACAGTTAATGCTGATTTCATGGATTGCTGCAGTCAATAAACCATATCGAATGACAATAGATGTTAACTCTGTCATGTCGCTTGAGTCTTCAATAGCAATTTAAAATATCTCATTTGTGTACTGAGTAGCACTACATCAGAAGCAAGAATGAAGGATTATGTTTAGTATTTTTAGACAATCCCCTTTAAAGATCTATAAAATTTTATCTATTACATTAAAATCTTTTAAATACTTTTAGTGAATAACTAAACTAAAAAGTACTACGCTTGGCATCAGAACAATACAGGAGGTATAAAACATGTTTTATTCAAGGCTAATAACTGGAAAGATAAAGACATGAATATAAATAACTATAAAACAAGCAACAGATTTTTATATAGTTCAGTTATTTTTCTGACAAATTTTTGCTGAGGGCAATTCCTCTGATTTAGGACAATTACATCTTATGTAAAATTCAGGTCTACACCTTCTATATGGGAATTTTTGTTTATCTATAAGAATATTTCTAAAAAAAATTCCTTAGGTGAGAGGGCCTGAAATGCAGCAGCAGGGTCGCTGGAGCTAAGAAAACAAGGCTTTTGGCCAATGAAACAGCCCAGTTATTACTGAAGAACTGATGGAGGTCTGTTGTTTCCAGTATTTGTACAAAGTGCATTATCTAACTAGCATACACACAAGTCAGCCATGTATTCACTTCAATCTGTGGCATCTCCAAGCCATTGTCTTTAGCTTCCTTAACACTTTGGAGAAACTGAGACAACACAGCATAAGTGCCATCTAGTGGTAAAGGGTCTCCTAACTGCATTAGGAATTCAGAGAAGAGGAAACCTCATTTCTAGCTAGAATAATAGGGAAGACTTTATAGAGGAGCAAACAGATCCTGAAGACAATAGTTATTCTAAGAGCTAACTAGGTGTCAGAAGCATGGGTGTGCAGGTGGTACAGGGAGAGAAATGTCTTGGTAAAGCAGACAGCTTATGTATAGGAATAATAGAAAATATGGCTAGAAAAATAGTTGGGTGAGAGTAAAAAACTCTGGGGGGAAGTGTTTGGTCTTTATCCTATAGGCAATAAAGAACAGTCATCCATCCAAGCAATATTCATAAGCAAAAACTGTGTTAGCTTCTGGGTATATAGTGATGAACAAAACAAACATCATGCCAACCCATATGGAACTTCTAGCCTAGACAAAAACATTGAAACTTATGAGCAGAAAGGGGATGGAGAGTCAAAAGATTTGAGTCTGCAGCCCAACTCAACCACGCACAGGAAGTCATTTAACCTTTGAGTCTATAGAAAAAGAGAACTACCCTACATATTTTGCAAAGCTGCACTGAGGAAAAAACTGCATAATATATGTAATATATATAAAACAGTTTGTAAAATTCTATATATGTAGAGCATATTGGTGAAAAGTATTTTAGAACAAATATTCTGATAGAGGTATGCAAAATAAAATGAAGAGAAAAGACACAGGAAATTAAAAAAACCACCAACTCTAAAAAGTTACTTTATAGAATTTATTCAGCAATATAAAAGTGATCTACTAAAGCATACCTGATATGGCAAGCTTTCCTTTACATGCTGTTCGTTCTTTACTTTCAAAATTCACATCACTGTCAAAAGGAAAAAAAACTAATGAAAAAAAGATCTTTTCTAATAAACAGTTGTTTGAACAATCTTTCACAATTATCTAAATATTAAAAGCAAACATGCACCCATGGATAATAATGACTTCCAGTTAATATGAATTACTTGACTCAGATTTTAAGATGTTTAGTCAACAGCTAGCTGGCTTAAAGGTAAATATAGAGAGCTATTCTCTTTGATTTTTTCATGTAAGTTTTACCTTCCCCGGTGACTATATACTGGCTTACTCTACAGTGAAAGTCTTCTGTGATTACTTACATTTATAAACAATATGTACAATATCTGCCCAGGTCCCAGGAAGTATACTACTTTGGATCACCATTGCATAAATTATATTTCTAGCTTACTGGATTACAGTTGCCTGACAAAGTTAATGAACATCTCAATTATGAATGTGCTGCCCAGGAGTACCTTATCCTTACAAAATATAACAATTTTTAAAGTTACTCTCTGTTCTATATTTATATTCAGTAAGATACTATTTCATTTACTTGAAATTCCAAAAAACTAAGCATATACTAAAATAATAAATTATCTAAGGTGGAAAAGGAAGGGATGGCTCTGTAGAAAGAATAGAATGTGGGGAGGAAAATATTATCACAATAGAAAAAGTCTCAAAGGAAATTCTTAGGATATAAAACACTTCCAGGTCTGACTTTACAATATACTGTTACCACTTTCTTAGAAAATCTTTTAAAATAGCTATATCCTACTAGACCACATCAATCCCATCCTTAAATATTTCTCCAATAGTCCCATTCCCTAATATCCTGCATTTAGAAATTAGCATTCCATTTCTAGAGCAGTATTTCCAAGAGTATTCTTCTTTGTACTTTACTTTTTTTGGGTCTTTATTTAAATTGGCTAGCTAATTTAATTAGGTACTTCAGATATGTATAAGATAGAAACTTTTCATTTGAATACTGTTTGATTTTCTTTTTATTTTTTGTTTTCAGTTATTTTATTTATAGATTTCAGAGAGGGAAGGAGGAGAGGGGGGAAGGGGAAAAGAGAGAGAGCAAGAGAGAGAGAAAAATTGTTTTGTTTTTCCACTCATTTATGCATTCATTGCTTGATTCTTAATGTGCCCTGAATGGATATCAAACCCACAACTTTGGTGTATCAGGATGACGTACTAACCTACTAAACTACCCGGCCAGGCCCTGTTTGATTTTCTAAGAGAGCTTTTAGAGAAAGATTGAGTAGGAGCTTGAAATGTATCTAAGTGATTTTCAGAAGGGTGTAACACCATCTGATTGCATTTCATTCAGGAGGCTTATTAAAAAAAGATTGCATATATTCATTGTCTTGTGCCCAAATTTGAAAATAAAATATATCAGCCTACATCAGCCTACTTTTTTTTTTACTGTCTTACTCGATTAAGCATATAAACATTATAGGTAAAATATGCTTCAAATAAGCTAAAATAACTTACTAATGTACTTAAATTGATAAGCTTATATGGGACATTTATTTACTCAATGTTCACAAACTCGCATACTAGGTATAACTAGGGTAATGTAGTAGACTAAAGACATACAATCTCAGAATCCTACCTAAGTACTTTACGGTCACACCAAAATTTGTGTAAAAATAGGGAATTCACTCAGCAAAAAACAGAAGTACTCACTGATTATTTCATAATAATGTTTCATTGAATCACAAGTTTAAGAAAGAGACAAGTTCTACATTTTATACTGAAGTTTAGTTTATCATGTGAAGCACATTAACTTCACTATAGAGTGAAAAATTCAATTGAATAGTCTCCTATATTTTGATGAAAATAATACACTGACAGGCCCACTAGAAATCAAACACAAATCTCAATTTCCTCAAATTGGAACAAGAAATACAATATAAATCCAGTTGGTTGGCATTTGTAAGTAACACTTCTGAAAATACTTATGCAAGCAATGCATAATATAAATTCTTAAAATATTTATTTCAATGAAAAATATAAGGAAGCTTGAATATGGTAAGTAACTTGAGTGTTACGGAATAGGTCATAGATTATGCTCAAGTTGAGATCCATTAGCTATTATTAAATTGGAATAAACTTGAGGCTTAGGCAGGCAAGTAATATTTTGAAATACTACAACCACCAAAAGCAAACTTGTTGAATATTTACTAAAAAAAATTTTCCCTTCCCAACTATTCAGCCACCTGGCAAAGTATAGCTTTCTTCCCTGTAATTATAAATTACTTCCATAGGCATTAGCAGGACCAGTCAACAAACTTATTATGTACAAATATTATCAAACTATAATATAAATCCAATTAACTATATAATCTTACAGAATAATTAAGTCTGTCATAAAAAAAATTAGAAAGGAACTGAAGTAATTTAGCCTCATATTTCTAAAGCTTGAATTATTTTCAATTCAAATAACTCCTCAAACTATTATTTAGGGTGCTAAAATGTGATATTTTCTAATTAATCCAAATTGACAATAAAATTGTTAAACATTATCTGCTTAATAATGTGCTACTGTAGCTAATAGTTTGCTACAGTTAAATAAATGCTTGTTTGGAAAATCTGCAATGTTAATGCCAATTCCAAATGCTATAATTAGAGAGCCAGCCTGAGGAAAAAGCAAATAACCACAAAATTATTCAAACAAAAGTACAACTAAATAATAGTGTACCTTATTTTTAGAAACCCAGTTTTGAGTATTATTTTGCTGCGATGTGTTATGCTAATTTAAAAGACAGATAACAATATCAAAGACAAACTTTGAACTTTATTATATTACTGCTTGTAGGTAAATAAAATGACCAATAGAGGGTGCCAACCAGCTACTTTGTTGCTCAAAAATCTATATTAAAATTGACCGAGTAACTACAGATTACCCTATTTTATACTGTTTCGTGTGGGAACGTAAAATAGGATTTCTTTGCCAAAATTAACAAGCTATGATGAGAAATAGCACAATGATGAAAGTATTTTACATTTTCTTAATGAAGTAATGAAAGAATTCTACAGCAGATTCTATTACTTGAGAGCAGGTTATAAAATCCTTCACCTCCAATGCAAATCAGTGAAAACTATAACACTCAGAAATGCTTAACATGGAAGTTTAAACTATTCTAAAACTCTGCTCTAAAATTAATACCTTCATGACTCTTCTTGAGAAGAATTTTCTATTTCAAACCTTGACATAAATGCTTCAACAGACACTAACCAATGCAAAGTTTAAAATATAAAATCAGTGATGTCTTTAATATATACTATATTTTATTGCAGAACTACCAGCAGTATACAATTTTCACTTGCAACCTATACTTTTTTTTATGTTATAGTATATAGGCAACTAGAGTATAGGAAACTAGTTATTGTGGCATTATTAAAATCACAATAATACTAAATGATACACATAATTAGGTCCTGTTAGTTACTTTGACTAGTAGTATTTTTAAAAAGCCAAATAAAATATTTCAGAAGTTAAAACAAAGACAGATGGCAGGTTGGAGCCATGCTAAAATGTAGCATAGAGCTGAATCACCAGTGCCTAATACATATAGTACATTCTAAGGCATTCAATAAATGTTTAGTAAATATTGAATGAAGTTACATAGGATAGGGTCATTTTGATGAAGCAGGCAGTAGATTTAGTAGATTTAGACTATAAAGTCTCAGGGTTGAATCTTACCCATCAATAACTAGCTACATTAATGAGTTGCTGCTAACCTCTTAGGCACAGCATCTTCATCTGTAAAATGCTGGAAATATCTACCTACCTCACAGCTACTGAATGAAATACTATTTCATATGTATCCTATATCATTCCTTTTTTAAAAATCCTCGACCAAGGATATGTTTACTGATTTAGAGAGAGAGGAAGGGGGGAGAGAAAAACATCGATATGAGAGAGGAACGTCGATATGAGAAACATCGATCGGTTGCCTCCCCCACATGACAACCAGAGATGGAACCTGCAACGTAGGTATGTGCCCTGACTGAAATTGAACCCACAACCCTTTGGTGTATGGGACGATGCCCCAACCAACTGAATCACCCAGCCAGGGTCGTATTCTATATTATTATTAAAAAATGTTAAACAAATACAGGGATTTCTTTGTAAGTATTTATATCTTTGGCCTCAGTATTTAACTTGGAAATTATGTGAAAGAAGAACTAAAATAAAACATTTGTTAAAGTGATCAGAGTATGACTTCCAGTTCCTATAAGATAATGGTAGCCACTTAAATTGAAATCTCTTCACGCATTCTACAAAAGCTTTCAGATCAATAAGAAGAGCAAATAAAATTATCTATAGCTAACATGTATAGCATAACCAGAAAAGAGACTAACACAAACTTTAATTTACATATAAATGGGAAAATTAACAACTGCAACCATGAAAGCCAGCTCCTGGAGGCCTTACCCAATAAGAGTCAAGTATACATTGCAAAACACAGTATCAACTTGTGATCTCCCATAGGAGAAAAATGAATGGACAGAAGACCTGGTGAACACAACAGCAGTGGTTCCTGGGGAACTAAGGGCAGGGGCTCCAAAAGATTCTGGTTTAGAAGTTGTTAGTCTTGTGAAGAGAGACACACAATGGGGGAGGTATCCTTTGAAGGTTTGGCCAGGACAAAAAAAAGAAGTGACTGAAGTTAAAAGCCCCAAGGCACAAAACACTATGCAAGAATCAGAAAAGCAACCGAACACAAAACCAACCAACATCCCCAAAGCCATCATTTACTAAAGAAATTGCTCTTCACAGTTCCAAAAATAGAAAATACTTTTGAACTAAGAAACCAAGTAAGTCCTTCTACGCCTCCCTTTCCCCAATTACTTGGCATGGAAAATCCTGCATCCTACATATTTCATTAGGGACAAAAAAAAGGAGGGGGGACCCAAATATCCATAGAAAGCTACTATAAAATGAAAGTAGACAGAATCAAAATGCTACAGCTGATAGAAATACTATATCAACCACTCTTCAAAAAAATAACAAAA